TTTTTTTGGTATTTTTTTTTAACCATCACACACCTGTCTTTATTGTGGGGCAGAAGGTGGGACGCTTCCAGCACTAGTTAATAAAAAAAGTCAAAAATACTAATTTACAAAACCAGGGATTTAGTGAAGCTGTCAGATGCATACCCTCGGCAGTCACACAGAGATACCCAGAGCAGCAGGAAGAGGACCCCAAAGCCCATGAAGAGTGGAGATGAGCAGCTCTTTGTAGATGTCCCGTGTGTACTTGGTAGAGGTTACCTCGTAAACGAAGAACCAGGCGGTGAAGAACATGCCAATGGCCAACAGCACCATGGTCAGATGGGAGAAGACAGCTGGGTTCACCGGGCTCATGGCCTCAAGCTCCATCTTGCCGGGTTCTGAGCAAGCCGCTGCTTTGCCCTCCACTATGTTTTATCTCCCACATGAGCAGACTGTCCAACTTAAGTTTTTCATAAGCTTAAACTTCTCTCAAGATCAAATCTGTGTCTTGCAATGATGTGATGAGTTGCCATATAATTGAGATTATTTTAAAATGGTTTGTCCATTCTCTTGTTTTATCATTAAAATTTACATCTAATAAATAAAAAAATCACTTCATTACAGATAAATCTCTTTTACCATCATCTCCAATCTCAGCCACTGCTTTGTTCTCCGGAGATAACAGAGAGTCAGCTATAAGTCCGTTCCAACTCAGCAGTACATAGCAAGAAGTAGATAGATCTACAAGTAATGATACAGAAAACACTTAATTGAAAAAGATTATTTAAAGTAATGTATTGAGGACTGTCATTTGCATTGGTATTGTTGGTAGGTGCCTTCGAGTCAAGTAGGACTCATAGTGACCGTATGGACGATAGATCCTACCCCTGCCCGATCTCGCACCACCCTCACAATCCCTGACACACTTGGTCCCACTGATGACAATCACTGTACAGGTCAGTCCACTTGGGTGAGGGTCTTCCTCTCCTTCACTGCTCCTCCACCTTCCAAAGGATGATGTCCTTTTCCAAGGAATCCAAAGTATGTAAAACAAAGCTTCACTGTCCTTGTCTCCAAGGAGCACTCAGGCTGCAACTTCTCCATAGACCTATCCGTTCATTCTTTTAGCAGTTTTTTCTTAGGGGATATGCTATACTCACTCCTCCAACACCACAATTCAAAGGCAACAATTCCTTTGTCATCCTTTTTCATTGTCCAGCCATCAACAGCATAGCAAGTGATTGAAAGACCATGGTCTGAAGTAGACACACCTTGGTCCTCAAACTAACATCATTGCTCCTCAATAACTTGGAAAGATTTCTGACTGCAGTAGTGGGGAGGTGGGGAAGTAAGGGTTTATATACACATATCTCAAATATACATAAAACATCTCTGGAAGGACATCACCAAAACTGGTAATGTGGACTGTCTTGGAGAAGGAGACTTGAATCACAGAGGGGCAAAGTAGAAGAAAGCTTACTTCTGTGAACTGTTTGAACTTTTAATAACATGTATGCCCTAGCTAATTTTTTCATCTTTTAAAAACAAATAAAACCAATATACTCATATATGAATATGTACTTTTAGAATATAGATTATTTTTTTTGGTCAGGTGTTCTGAAGTTAGGTCACAAATGATGAACAAAATCAACTCATTCTTTTGAAATATCCCAGGATCCCGAGAACAAAGGTGATCATTCGAAGATGTGTATGTACGCTGCTTCCTGCATGAGTCAAGACCATCGGGAGACCCTGAAACGACTGTCTGAAGTGTGGCAAAAGGTCTCGGAACAGGACGACCTGATCCAGGAACTTCGGAATAAGCTGGCCTGCAGCAATGCTTTGGTAGGTGGGGTCTTCTATAATATTTTTCCACAAGACTCAAAGTCATGAGGAAAAGAAGGAGGGCAAAGAATCACCTGTTAATGTTTTCCACTAAGGACTCCTCAGGTGTCTTAGACACCTAGCATTTTAGAAGCTCTGATCACACCCTAGAAGTAAATGAATCAGTGATATCTTGGGTAAAGTCAGGGAGGGGATTCAGTGGAAAAGTGATTTCTACTTCTTATTTTAAGTGCTTGAATTTTGTCTGCAATATTTTCAATGAACAATACACATTTTAGGTTTTTCTCATCTTTTTTTTAAAAAAATGAAATCACATACATATTCATCCACTCCATAAGAAACTCCTTTCTTTCATTCTTGGATCTTGAACACTGTCTTTTGAGAACTAAATCCATCTTCATCACCTCCATATAACTGTCTCCTTCCTCATAAGTTAGGCTACACTGAATGCAAGTCCAAAGTGTGGCCACTGCCAGAGCCAGACAACATTCTCATGTGCACAGGAACCTTGAAAGAAAACTGCACAAGTTTTCCTTCCTACCACCCTACAGGAAGTGTGTGATTATTAATAGGAACTTTCAGCTTTAACTAGGAATGCTTTTAGGAATAGTAGTAACAAGCACACGATATTGATAATTCAACATAACTGACCTGTGCTAATAATTTCCAGGTTCTGGAACGTGAAGAGTCTTTGATAAAACTACAAGCTGACTTTGCTTCCTATAAAGCCATCCACAGGCATCCTCCTCTCTCTTCAGGAGACTGTGAAGACATGAAAAAGGTAGCCAACCTTTGCTTATTTTTGCCTAGTGGGTTCAGGCAGAGCTTTGACTTGGGTTTTTCCTACTCACGATCTGTGTGACCTTGGCTAGTGGCATTATATGTCCTTTATAATAATGGATGCATAAGTGAGCTCTGGTGGCGTGGCTGCACGAAATTTCACTGTCGGCCCACAGGCAGCACTTCTCCAGTGGTCTGGGTCCACCAGCGGCTCCAAGAGACGAAGATGGGCAGTCTCCTCCCACAAATCTTACAGCCTCTCGAAAACCAGTAGAGGGGTCAGTGATGAGTCAGCTAAGTCTTAAACAGAAAGACCCCTGGTGACAATGGTTTAGCACTCAAGGCTGAAAGGTCAGTGGTTCAAATCCATCAGTTGCTTCACAGCAGAAAGATGAGGGCTTCTACTTTCATAAAACTTCACAGCCTCGGCAACTGTAAGGAAGAGTTCTCCCTGTCTCATAAAGTCGTTTTGAGTCAGAATGGCAGAGAGGTTGTATTTCTTTTTTAAAGGTGTGTTAAATAGTGTGCCTGGCAGCATTAGGTTTTATAATTAAATGTTAGAAGTATATGCACCTCTTAACCCACTTCCAGTAGTATACTTAAACAAGGTGGTGACGACTGTTCATTTGCTAGGTTCAAAAGGAAAAAAGTGAAATTTTTCTAATTAGAATTGGAAAATATATGGCTGGAGTTTAAAAGTAGCAAATTAATGAAAAGAATATGCCATTTAATCTTTTCCCATTTTTAAAAACACTTTGTGCTTGCAAAATATAAAACAACCTCAAATGATGCAAACAGATGTCAAGATATGGCAAACCAAAGGTCCAGCCTTGCTGACAATGGTCAGGTCCCTCCCTCGGTGAAGTGCTCTGATGGCAAAGTCGTGCCCGTACATCAGGAAACAAGGCAACGCCACAGGACCTGCTGTGGACAGACGCCAGCATGCCTGCAGGCTCCACGACGTGACGTCCATGGTGCTTGGCTATGGCCAACGAAGACGGCAGAACTACGTTCATCCATAAAGGTCTGATGAACCATGTGAGCTATTTACATTAATCAGTTGTAATTAATGTTATAAAACGAAGTATGTATGAATGATTGAATGAAAACAAAGGCAAACTTACACTCAAATTAAAAAGAAGTAGAAGAGGGGAAAAAGAAAGACCAATCAAGACGTGCAGGCTTCCCAGCAGTTCTTCAGAGGAGGACAGGAAGACACTTCTCTTTCTACGGCTTTCTGGTCTTGGGAAGTCTGGATGAATAAGTGCTCAACATTGGACTTTGCGGTCCTCTGTCAATATTTATTTCAAAGGCAAGCTCCACCTCCTGACCCACAGCAAGGTCTTATAACAGTGAAAAAATGTTACCATTACACAGACCTCTCCGAAAATGGGAGAAGACCTTCCTCGGGCGTTTTCTATTTTATATTTGATACCCACAGGCTTCATGTTACCTGAACCTTCTGTCAGAAATGAGACTGTCTGTGTCACGGTTTTCTCCAGTCCTCGCCTCCCTTAAAATGGTACAGCATGGCGTGGGCCTTTGATTCTCTGCTGGCCTCGCCCCTGGGGTCCGTGATGATTGCTCTTTACCTCACCTGTGACCGCCTGCATGCCTTCCCTGGCTTTAAGTTTGAATTTATGAAGTAACGCGCTAGCATCCTTTAATGCCCAAGTGACTAATTGTTCCTCCTTACCCACATTCTTCTGCCTTTTTTAAAGTCCATTATAGGCTCCTTTGGGTTAGAGGCTGTGGTTCTTGAAAAGGGGCAATGCCTACCAACTCTCTCCCTTGTCTTATCTCCTTCTATTGTCCTGCAGAGGAAAAGGCCTGGTGGTCTCCTTCCACTGCAGCCAGTTAAACCCAGCGGAGCCGTTCGACTCTGTAGCGGCCACGAGGCTGATTATACTCTAGAGCCTCCACTGACAACAGCATCGCTCCCCATCTTCCCGTCCCTCAGTCCCGAGCAACCACTGGTTAACTTTCTCTCGGTGGATCTGCCTTTTCTGGGCACTGCGCATTTTTTTAAAGCCATCTTCCCCCAAGTTCTTATCCTCCTTCGCTCTCCTTTTATCCACCAGATACTGAAGCAACTGCAGGAGCAAAAAGACAGCCAGTGCCAGCACGTGGAGGAGTTCCAGAACCTTGTGAAGGGCCTGCAGATGGAGCTAGAAGTGGTGTCGGAGCAGAAGAAGAACATCATGAAGGGTAGGCCCCGGCCCGTGAGGCGGCACAGGGGGACTAGACGGAAGCTGAGCCCTCCTCTGGGCTTCGGGGCTCTTCAGGGGAGGCCTTCAGAGAGAGGGCAGCACTCTGTCTTGTCCCATTACAGATATGATGAGGCTGGAGCTGGAACTGCACACGATACGGGAAGAGACATCTTGCCAAATAGAGAGGAAGGATAAGGAAACCATCCACCTGCAGTGGGTGCTACAGGAGATGGAGTGGCGGTTCTGTGAGATCCAAAAGTATGCTTCCGAGAAAGACAAGGTGAGGCAAGGAGAAGTCTGGTGCTCACCAAAGGCAGGGGTCGAAGGTCTGTGGGGAGAGTATGCTCAGCGACCTCCAGTCACCCTGACTGTTCAACGAGAGCCCGGGACACAGGGACACAGTCACTGCGACTGCTCCGGGAGCATTCACACACACCCGGGACATAGGGTCACAGTCACTGTGACTGCTCCGGGAGCATCAACACACACCCGGGACACAGTCACTGCGACTGCTCTGGGAGCATCAACACACACCCGGGACACAGGGACACAGTGAGTGTGACTGCTCCGGGAGCATCAACACACGCCCAGGACACAGTCACTGCGACTGCTCCGGGAGCATCAACACACGCCCAGGACACAGTCACTGCGACTG